TATATATATACGAAAAGAATCTAAACGACGTCAGTATAACTTTTAAATTGTAACATGTATAAATTATTTATTTACAAATATTTATTCCCTATAAAAGATTTACCAATAGTATAAATTATCTTTGATGTGACTCATTTAGTAATTTTATACAAAGTGAATAAATTTATCATTTATGATTTATAATTAAATGATAATAATTAACAAAATACTTATATTATTATAACAAATGGCTTTAATTTTTATGTGGATATTTAGATAAGTGTTTTTTTAACTAAAATATTTATCCAGTGATTGTAAAGTTTTCTTAAGTCATGTTAGATTTAATTTTTGTTAATGTTAAAATAATATTTAATAAACACAAATCATATTTTATTAACATAAATTAATATTTAATTATCACCTTTGGAACACCGTATAATTCATATTTATGAACTAAACAAAAATATAAGTACTTTTTGGGCACCGTTTCTAATTAGAATTAAAATTATACTTTATAACTAGTTCCCAAGTTTTTTATTTTTATTTTTTTTATTTTATAAAGGTCAATATAAATTATCAGATTGAAACATCGATTCTGATAAATAAAAAATTATGAAACTATAATTATTCGTGGCTTGTATTATTATTTATTTTCAAGTTCATAAGTATGCGACAGTATAACGTATTGTCATAAAATAACAAATTCAGGAACATTGATAGATTATGATTGTCATATATATATATAGCTACAATTTTTACACTCTTGCATAAGAAGGGACCTAGCTACTTAGCTTACAAGTGCAGGTTCCAAAAAATAATATCTTGCTTGCGGAATAGTATACACACTCATATCACTCCAAAAAAAGTTACAAGTAGCAACTAGCAATGCAAGAATCATGCATGTGCAGAAATAAATTACATAGTTTGTCCTATGTTGCTGCCACTTACACCATCCATAATGGCAAATCGCATGTCCTCAGATGGTTTCCAATGCCGTTTCCTCTGATTGATGAACCAATTGTTGATCTGCTTTTGATCAAGTCCAGTCATTTCTGATAGTTGCACTTTCTCCTCCTCCTGATAAAATATTAGTTTCAAGGCATTTATATCAAATTTTGCAATAACCACGCTTGATTAATTCATTGACCACAAGTGCTCACATGCATTAAGTTGCATGTGCATATTGAAGTTAGTTAAGTGTGCATGCTCCTACACCATCTCCCCAAACCTCACCATTTCATCCTTGTTTTATGCCACTAACAAATGAAATTATCCATACAAAACTTGCTACACTCATCTTTCACTAGAAAAATAGAAGACATTAGCAGTTCTCTAGGCATCCCAACACATTACAAATATCCCCCAGTCATGGACTATCTTAAGAAGAAAATCATTAGGGTCAACCTATAATAAATAAGGGAGGTCTAAAACATATTTTGATGGAGAAATTTTTTCTTTAGAAAAGTATATATTTGATATTTTTATCAATATATGTGCCTTTTTACTTTATAAAAACTAAAAACATACAAATTCTTGTTGATAGACCTAGAGCTTGAATTTCAGTATTCTTACCTTTAGATGGACCCTGAAAACAATTGATATATTTTCTGTTCAATGTTAGTTTGCAAGCTTGTAACCACAAACCAAACACAAAACATGAATGTATAGTGCATAGTGTAGTGTTAACATAACATACACTTAACCATAATAACAAGAGAGTTACTGTGCACTCAGAAATCTTTCAAATCATTGTTAATTGCTTAAGAGGCATACATCAGATACACATTCAAGGCCACAGATTGATTTTGACATTTAAATAAGACCACATACAATGTAACTGATCAAGGCACAATATACGTATTCTATATTGACATGTATACTCAATGATATTAAATTCAATTACCGTAGGATAAGGCCATCTATAATGGGCGTTCCACCAGTCCATGAGTATCATCCTTGCATCCTTTGGTAGCTTACCCTTTTTCCTTTTTTTTAGAAATTCCTTTCTCAAGCTGCTAAGATAGCCACCGTATTTACGAAGGAGCATTTCTTTAAGCTCTTGATCACCTGGACGTGGGGCAGAAGATTCGTAACCTTCAACTGCTTCCACTTTCTCCCAATTTAATTCATCCTCTGATGTCCCAGCTGCTTCATCTAACAACAAATATTGCAAGATTGTTCAAAGAGAATCAATTATGCTTCCCATAAATAAGTACTACCAAGGCTCTTAACATTCCATGATAAATTTGTGCACAGAATTAGTTTATCATGCTAACCTTGTAGGGACAATCTATTTAACAACAAATTCTGTATTTAATTTCTACCGTATATAAAAACTCTTCGCGGCAATTACATTATTACAATCAAGATTAGTTGTGAGCTATGAAATACAACAAAATGACAATAAAACGGAATACCAAGGGACTAAATCACAAGAATCATACTTAGAAAACGTTAATAATTCCAGTTTTAGCCAAGAAGCAATATATGCTTAGGTTATTTAGTTTTTTTTAGGAGGCTGGGCTTAATTGGATGGAAAGTTGATAATATGTTCATAATGGTCAACTAGGCATTGACCCAAGGTGTAGTGCAAAGGAAGAACATTGTTGGTGAAAAGCCAAAGCTTGCACTAAAAACTTGAAGATGATATGAAAATTTGGCAATAATCATTGAGGGAAAGTACGTGAAATTATACACCAATTATTACAAGCCAAAGAGAGGACTTTCTAATTTCTTTTTGTTTATTTTTTTTCAACCGTTCATGGAATTTATTTATAATATAAAACAAATCTCAAATCTTCATATCAACGTATTTGTTTATGTGTAAATTGTGTCTCATCCCTTTACATTTTCTCATGTACCTTTTAGTTGTTATAACCATTTAATTAACAGTATTATATGTAATTTCTTCTAAAAGTTCTAAACAATTCATCTTTAGGCTTTATCAATGTGTATAAAAAATTCTACATTTTATTATATCTCTCCCCTCTACACATTTCATCCAATCTCATTGTTAATTTAAACATAAATTTCTCCTTTTCCTAACTAATCAAAATCTTAATCTCCATTTGACATTGCAATGTAATTTGTGGTATTTTAATCTCCTTTTCCTAACTACGTATTTGTGGTATTTTATATTCTTCAGAGACTATTGAAGAATGGTGACAAACTGACAATGTAATTTTTATCAGAAATAAAAGATCATGCATATTCATAATTCTTTATATTATTTTGTTTGTAAATTTATTTTCATTTGATTCATAATCTAAAAACTTTTTTGTTGTTCTCCCTCATCACAAATATTCTAAATTTTAACTCTCTTCTTATGTTGTAATTCTCACCAGAAATTAAAGGTAATATTCAAAATTCAATCTTTTTTTATTCTATAGAAGCTTTTTTAGATCCATGATTTGGAGACATTTTTTTGTCAAAAAACAAATATACTTCTATGTTACATTTTTTTTTATCTCCATATTTTTTTCCTTAAGTTTTGTGAAGTTATATTCCTAAATTTGGACTTTGTAGGATTATAGATGGTTCAAGGACAGAAGGACTATTGTAGAGTGGTGTTCAATAAGGAAAATTAGTTTTGCATGTGAAGAAGAATGGAAAACCAGAACAAAATATATAAAATATATATAGAAGTCATCAAATTTGGAGTACACTTAAACAAGATATTCATTTTTATTCTTCTATGGTAATTTGTATGAGAGTGAGATCATGCATCTTTTTTATAAAATATTCTTTAAAATCATATAATTGTATCAAAAACAAAACAACTCATAATATTGTTACCTTAAAAAAAGGTTAGATATATGAATAGCTTCCAAAACTCTCTGAAAACTTGTTTTTTATTAATTTTTGTTGATTCAATTGTAATTCATTTACTTAGAAAAGTTCATCCTTCTCTATCCTACATTTGGCGTTGGGATTGTAGTTCTCCGTAAATAAGTTTTATTCACCCGAAATTGCAGACAAAACTTGATTATTTCCCTATAATAATATTTCATAAATTTTATTCACCTCTAAAATAGGTTTACAAAGTTTTGCTGTTGTTTATTTTTTTTAACAGGCTCTTTCTTTATAGTTCCTAAAAACATCATTTATACAAACTCTAATTTATCTATTTTTTCCTCCATTCTTCAGTTTCCATTACAAAATTCAAATTTATCTAAAAAAAATGTTAAATAAATTTTTATTTAATTTGATACTATTATTTTTAAAATATTTAATTTAATTAAGATCGATGTCAATTTAAACAAAAAAATAATATTAAAAATAATGAAACTAAATTAAATCTTAAAAATAACCAGACAAAAATAATATATATATATATATATAT